GCGGTAAGCACACAGGGGGTTACTTGTAATACGGTATGGCGGGGAAGTCATGCAAAGTGCCGCAGTTTTCCAAAGATTGATAGTTACTCGCAAACCGGCGTTAACGCATGTACGAACACTTAGAAATGATAATGATTAACCATAGGTCAATCGCTACTTAAAAGAAATATAAAAAGTACTAATTGTTTGTTAGGAAAAATAAATTTTCTTAATAAAACTTAACTTCCCTAGACCAAAAAAATGGCTACAGGTTATAACAATAAATTGAAATCTTATCATTCGGTAAATGGATAACTAAACCACTTTCCTTTAATCAAAATTTTTATACCTGCTTCTTCACCAGTTTTAGACCAGACTTTCCGGTTGTGCAAGGGATATATTTTAAAGTTTGCTTACTTATAATTTGGCTCTCCCTTGGCATAATGCATAAATAAAAGGTTTGTTCTGTCGGATTTAATGGCACAGGAAATTTCTTCAATAGCTCTCTCCAATTTCGCCAAAAGTAATGCCCAATACGCCCAATATACTGAACTAAAAAGGCAATGTTCCTTAGTAAAAGGCTTTCGCAGGGAAGAATCCAGTCATTAGATCAAAATACAAAATCTATGCTGCACTACCGAGTCAAACTTCGTTAGGACATTTACAGGAATACTCAGCCATACTGTACACATGAAATAACCAGACAGGCCAGGCTATGCATTTACGAGTTATTCTTACGTTTGGGTAAATAAAAAGAGCCGGTTGCCCATTTATAACATTCATTGGTAATTAAATCAGCTAAATAACTATATGAAACTAACCCTCGGTTTGATTTCTCGAGCCAAGATTTTCAGGATCCAGGTTAGCTGGTCGAAAGACATGCAGGTGTATGCAAGGGAGAGGCACGCTAACCGGCCTGTTTGACTGAAGCAGGTCCGCCAAAAGAGCTGCGCCATAGTGATTTGTGGCACGCTGGCTAGATTATTACGAGCGATGTTTAGTTCATACAGGCACGGAAGCGGCCGCCAGTTGAACACCAGGTATTCAATATCATCTGCAGTGAGGCTGCAATCCTAAAAGTGTAAAAATAACAAAAAGAAGATACGGGTGTTTATTTTCCGTCCGAATGAAAAAAACATGCAAATAATTGATTTGAGCACTTAATGTTTGTGGGTGGATGCTGTTTAAACCTAACTGCTAAATATGCAATAACTGAGTGCCTAGACAAAAGGTTTTAACAGAAGGAGAATACAAAGATGTGATAGCTGGAACAAGAAGTTTATTAGCGCGGCGTTTCAGTTTTTAACCAGGACCCATTATCAGCGACAGTTCACAGACTGCATCCTATAAATAGTGCAACTCTATGTGTACAAACTACCCGCTGCTGAGCTTGTCTCTGGCATTGAGTTCTAGAAGGAATCCAAACGTCAAGCAAACGTGTCTCCTTCTTCGTGCATAAAGTATGCCTGTGTAGTGA